TATATATATATATACAACCACAAACACACGTACACATATGTACATATATATGAATACATAAATGTGTGCGTGTGTGCAGACAATACACACAAACACGCTTATATGTACATACACACATGCATAAAAACACACAATCACACACACATGTACATATATATGTATATATATACATATATAATATATATATATATATATATATATATATATATATATATATGTATGTATCCATATACATACATATTTATATATATACATATACATATGTATATATACACACATATATATATGTATATATATATATATATATATATATATATATATATGTGTGTGTGTGTGTGTGTGTGTATACATATGTATATGTATATGTATATATACATAAATAAACATATATGTATATGGATACATACATACATATATATATATATATATATATATATATATATATATATACGTATGTGTGTGTGTATTGTCCAAAGGTTCCTCTCACTTGGTAATTCATAAGTAATTCATAAGTAATTTGGTAATTCACTTTGTAAATAAAGTCTCTTATTGGATATACTTGTCAGACTTCCACATCAGGGAAGCATTTGACTCAGTTTTATATTCAATTATTATCATTTATTATTTATTATCTATTTTATCTATTATTTATTTATTACTATTTATTATTAAATTCAATTATTATCTTCAATATATTTACACACTCAGACAAAAAGCACTGTTGGACACACAAACACACACACACACACACACACATATATATATATATATATATATATATATCCCCTTGGTGCCGGGTATGACGTGTACGTACGTGCTATGCCCACAGTGAGTACTTGTTTGATTGTTTTTACGCATAGATGGCAACACTTGTACTAACTCCCCAATGAGCCAGTTACGGGCACCGCCTGTCTCGCCCGTTTACTCGTTTCTTTGATTTACAAAATATTTTACGTAATCTTATTTTGCTGTTACTAATGTTAAAAAAATTATAAAAATTATAATGTTTATGATAAAAAAACACCATCGATTTTCATAGCACTAGTGAAAAATACGTTTTTCCCGCCATTTAAATCAGGCGCTAGCAGAGTCATCTATCGGCAGACATTTTACGAAAAACATAGAAAGTGGGCACAATATTTTCCCCATTTTTTGTTCATTTTCCCCGGCACCATTGGGTTAAATATATATATATATAACTATATATATATATAAATATAAATATATACATATATATATATACATATATATATATATATATATATATATATAACTATATATATATATAAATATAAATATATACATATATATATACATATATATATATATATATATATATATATATATATATATATATATATACATATATATATATATATATATATATATATATACATATATATATATATATATATATATATATACATATATATATATATATATATATATATATATAATGGTCTCTAATTCAAGGTTTGCTGATAAACAGACACGTAGAAGGCGGAGATATGTAAGTGGTATGTATGTAAGTATGTATGTATGTAGGTATGCATGTATGTAAGTGTGTATGAATGTAAGTATGTATGTATGTAAGTATGCACGTATGTGTGTATGAACGTATGTAAGTATGTAAGTGTATGAATGTATGTAAGTATGTGTGTATGAATGTATGTAAGTATGTGTGTATGAATGTATGTAAGTATGTGTGTATGAATGTATGTAAGTATGTGTGTATGAATGTATGTAAGTATGTGTGTATGAATGTATGTAAGTATGTGTGTATGAATGTATGTAAGTATGTGTGTATGAATGTATGTAAGTATGTGTGTATGAATGTATGTAAGTATGTGTGTATGAATGTATGTAAGTATGTGTGTATGAATGTATGTAAGTATGTGTGTATGAATGTATGTAAGTATGTGTGTATGAATGTATGTAAGTATGTGTGTATGAATGTATGTAAGTATGTGTGTATGAATGTATGTAAGTATGTGTGTATGAATGTATGTAAGTATGTGTGTATGAATGTATGTAAGTATGTGTGTATGAATGTATGTAAGTATGTGTGTATGAATGTATGTAAGTATGTGTGTATGAATGTATGTAAGTATGTGTGTATGAATGTATGTAAGTATGTGTGTATGAATGTATGTAAGTATGTGTGTATGAATGTATGTAAGTATGTGTGTATGAATGTATGTAAGTATGTGTGTATGAATGTATGTAAGTATGTGTGTATGAATGTATGTAAGTATGTGTGTATGAATGTATGTAAGTATGTGTGTATGAATGTATGTAAGTATGTGTGTATGAATGTATGTAAGTATGTGTGTATGAATGTATGTAAGTATGTGTGTATGAATGTATGTAAGTATGTGTGTATGAATGTATGTAAGTATGTGTGTATGAATGTATGTAAGTATGTGTGTATGAATGTATGTAAGTATGTGTGTATGAATGTATATACCTTGTAATATATGTGTATTATATGCCCGCGTGACTCCCACGTGGACGCTCGCAGTTGCCACATGGCGCCCCACGCTCTCGCTACCCAAGCGGCGTGCCTCAGGGGATGTCCTCCTTGCCCCCCAAGCCAACGTCCCGGATACTTAACCCGTTCGCCACATTTGGCAAGAATAGATGCCATACCCACTTTGAGACACGTCTATTTATTGTATTTATACATAGATGGCTCCACACGTTCTTAATCACCAAACAGCCAGTTATCAAGAACTACCTATTTCACCTGTTTACCCTTTTCCTTCACTTTAGGAAAGGTTTTTTTGTATCATTTCATTGTCTAAAATATTCTAGTGACAATTTGGTAATCATAACATCAATAACAATAATAACAGTATCGATAGCAATGGTATTAATTTTCCCGCCAATGCAATGAATGGGAAAATCAGGGTCGGTATCTAGGGCCTACTGATAGGCTCCTTGCCGGCTGAGTACATGTGGAGCCATCTGTATGTAACATAATTCACTAAAAACTACAGGGGACAGAACATAAATCCGTGGCGAATGGGTTTTAACTACGTA